AGAAGCTGATCACTTTCAATCATCGATCGCGTTGGGAAAGCACAATGTGAACTCCTAATATTATCTACTTCTGCTCCGTACATACATCGAATTACGATTGCAAATGGAAATCAGAATGATCCAGGTAGAGGTTTCGAATCTCTCATGCCAATCTCACTCGGGAGACGATGGAGCAAGAGGAGATCACCACTAGATAGTAGACAATAATAAGAGCACATCGGGAAATGAGAGAGAAAAACTTGATAAACCAAGTCGAGTTTCGAGAACAATACTAAGCATGATACTATGACCATCTGTCAAGGAAAGGAAGAAACCCACTGGGAAAAATGGAAGAGGAAAAAGGAAAAAGGAAAAAGGTGGTGAGACCATGAGAGTGACTTTTGGACTCCGGGCGGTGCGTGAGGGGCCACACGGTGAACTGTTGGGACGGATGGATCGCGCACTGCTGTAAGTCATTCGATCGTCCTGCGCTGCCGGGTTGATGCTGAGACTAGTACCTAGTAGCCATCGGGCACGGAAACGGCGAGAATACTTTAGCACGGAGTACTCCTAGATAGTATCTTCAGTAGTTAGATAGTGCTTGTAGCTACAGAGCACAGGCTGGCTCTCTTTGCTTCTGCCGGGGGCTTTTCCATGTTCGTTCGTGCCATATTCTTCGATTCACTATCCTGAGTAGATAATCTCCGAAAGACATTCTACAACAAAGTGTTCTGTAGTTTGATAAGCACAGGACCCCGCATGTATCTCTGAACAACAAATTCAAGAACCTGCCGAGACTAGGCAGCCGAGACCGTTACCGATTGAAAGGCCCACGGAAGCAGGAAGAGAAGAAGCCGCGGCGAGGGCAGCATAGCAGCAGCAGCCGCCAAAAAGAAAATTAAGAAAAAAAAAAAAAGAACCAAGAGAAAAAACAAAAGCAAAGCAAAGCAAAGCATCGAGGGAAAGAAGGGGGAAAAACAAAAGAAAATGTATTAAAAATAACAATATTGATAATGACAGGCGCGTGTTCCAGGTTCGAGCAGCAGTTGTCTCCACGATGGCCGCGGGTCCCACTCAGCGTACCCAAAGTTCAAAGAAAGAATTGACCATGGGTAAGCTCGGCCACGAAGCGGCGAACCAATGGTCAAATCCATGGTCTGGAATGACTGCCAACCTAGGTACGCTGTGATTACTGTACAAAAAGGTACCGTGCTTGACTAGGTGAGTTAGATAGTAACACTACGTGGTGAAAAAGGCAGTAAGCAACTTAGATTCGAGGACGTTGAAAACTATGAGTATGAGCATGCAGTCAATGATAATCATGCTTCTTGTGCTTCGGGCATAGGATCGGTAGGCCGGCTGGCCTGCTAGCCTGCTTCACATCCTGCTGTAAGGTATTCTTAATCTCGTCAAGGTTGATCGTGAGAACGCACGAAGCAGTCTGTTGGGTGCATAGAGTGCTGACGGCGGTCGAGATCATCCATGACCAAATAAGGTCTACAACTTGAGAATGCATGTATGACAAAGCCAGAGATGGAGAGAATGAGTGTACCGGTATGGTACTCAGTTTGTACTGCGATCGTACCGGCTGGTAATCGATTGCTTCTTCTGGGTACTGCAAACACACATTGGTAGCAAGCTAGCTCACTGCCTCTCATCCCATCAAATAGTAAGTACCCTGCGCCAGTGGAGAAAATAGAGAGGGGGGGCGGTGGGCGGGTTGATTTGCGCAACTCAGCGCCTGGGGGGGGAAGTCGCTTTCTCTCCAGTCTTTTCTCCCCTTCCCCCTTCCGTTTTGCCCAAAAGACCATTTTCTTAATATGAGTAATATAGAACTAGCAGGGATCCATCCGCTCTAGTGAGATGGTCTACAGGGAATGCCAGTCATTGCCAGTTATCGTCAGTCGAAAGAACAATAGAATGGGAGATGGGGGGGGGGTCCATTAGATGGATGCAAGATTTGCGCACTCTAAACGGTGCAGTGGATCGTCCCAGCATGTAAAGCAGCGGGAAGCGGTTCGACACAGACCACCCCCAAAACTATCGGAAGCGACAAAGCTTTGAAGATCTTACCCTACCCTAGAACCAAACCTATCTCTTAGCCATCATCCACGAACGACAACGGTCAGCGGGAGAATAGTTACAGAGTCACCCACCCGAAAGAAAGGAAGGGAGGAATGGCGGTGACTTGAGCAGCATGAGGAGAAAAAAAGAAAAGGAAACAATAATCATATCGGTCGAAAATGGAAAGTCGTGGATAAGAAGCTTTTACAAGGGATAAGATACGACATATAATGCCTGGAGCAGCTCAACCACAATTGCCTTACCCTGCACGGCTGCTTTACCGGTAGTTCTTCTCAACTGATCGTTGACGCGGCGCATCCTAGATGGGTAATGGAAAATGTGCTTTCACTCTCCTCATTGTACTTTACGGCACAGGATCACATTGTTTTATTCCGAAGCATGCCGTGGGCGCTCATTGGCATTATTACACTAACTTAGCTACTAGTAGCATTGTACTTCTCCGACGCCGATGAGCCGAATGCTGGGATTCTTTTCGGTCGCAAATGGTCTACCAGCTGATGACATAACAGGAATAGTGAATATGACAATAGGTATTATGATTATGATGGGACCGATCACAAAGATGGTCCGGAGGACTCTTAAGTTTCCATTTCAATCTCAATCAGAATGAATCATCAGAGACTCCAACTTCAGATCTTTTCATTTGCTTGGAACTCAGGAAGTCTTCCGCGACAAGGCTAGAGAGCGCCAGTCCAAGAAATAGCCTGACTAGCCAAGTGGAGCCAGCCTTCTTGGACTGGCACTGGGCTCTTTTCCACCCCCCCCCACCTCTCTCTCTCTGTGTCTTCGCGTTCCTTACCTAGTAGTAATCCATCACCACCGTAAATTGCAATTACTCTTCCCTTCTCAACTCCTTCATCATCTGTCTTCCCCTTTCGTAAAATGTGAAGCGGATGGAGGATCCATTATTCAGGTCTTTGTGCACCCTACTATCATCGGCTAGCTAGACTTGGCTCATGATGCTGGGGGGTTGGATGCGACACTTTATTGGTTTCATCAAAATTATGATTTTTATTATGGTTACCATTATGATTATTGTCATAATTTCTACTCCGTATTATCACCATTATTACCGTCATCGTCATGGTTGTTAACAACTCTAAGCTGTTGGGGGCGATCTGGAGGTGGGCCCCGCCTGGAACACGGCCCCTTTCGCAGGTGGGGATGACAAGTCATCCAAATCAGACCAGTCTTCTGTGACTGATCATGGCGGAAGATAGGAAATCGGAAACGAGGCAAGTCGGTGGAGGACGATGACGAGAGTCAAATTAAATAGATCCGACGTATTTTGAGGTAGGGACGCGGACGAGCAAGAGAGCGACAACGAGGGGGTGAGAGGCGATCACGAGTCAAGGGATTATTGGATTTGGGAAAAAAAGTGAGCTTGATGGGCCAAGAGAGAGGGGCTAAAGGAATGATAATTTGTTCAATTAATTGATTTCACCCCGGTGCTACTTCGTACCCTGACCGAAGAAGTATACAGGGCTATCTATTCGAGGTATTCCGGACTCTAAGGTAGATAGTTAACTCACACCGTACCTAGTACCAGTTACTACCCTACCCAGTGGTTCGTTCCTATCAGCAGTCCCTATCTAGGTTAGTAGTCAACTAGACAGGCACACGGTAGGTAGCTACGGACACTGTTCCCAGCCAGATAAACTTATTTTTCCAACGCAGTCCAGAGTAGAATATACTGCAAGCAAGCGAGGCGATCCCTGGGTTACACAGCGCAACAGAAGAAATCGACCAGGATAGGGCCGGATTGGCAGGGATACATGCAGATGGCAGACCAAACCACTGGACCAGAGTGCACCACGCAGGCAGAAGTGGCGTGCAAGCAACATTCGATCAGGTCTGTGTTCTTCGATTTTTCCCTCCCACCCCATCATCCTTCAAGAGCACTATCCACATTCTGGGTTGGTCGGTCGGGGATGAGCACTGTCAGTTTGTCAGTCTGTCAGTCTGTCATCCAGTCCATTAACTACTAACAACCTTACTGTTTTAGGTTAATCAACAGCGGAGTAAACACCAGTTGTTGATTCTCACCTCGTTGCGGATTCTTAGTCACCCTTTTCCCGGCCGACTGTGAATATGCAGTGTTATTTACCGGGGGGGGAGAGGAGTGAGTCTTGGTCTGTCTCATTTTAATTCGGTTCATCAAGCTAAATTTCTGGATTAGGGGAATTTGGCCAAGGAAAGAGTGATGCTATACAAAAGCCGTTCGGTCATCCGTGTCTCTTTCTCCGCCACACACACACACACACACACACACACACACATTCATACTATTCAAATGACACTATTTCGAACAGCAATGCAGTGATCAAAGATAGGTTGCCGTAAGGCTTTCCAACAACTCAAGATTCACAAAATTCCGCCTGTTTCATCAATAGCTTAGTCGAATAAGGAACCTTCACGCAGGAAGCAAAGAATGAAAAGATGTTCAATTCACCTGACGAGGCGGCTCCTTGGATACATCAGACGGAGAGCTCAAGCTCGCGAGTCGGTCAAGAAAGCCCAATCCCGGGTAGTTAGGGATCATGACCCTGGCCACCATAGCAATAATTCTCCGCTTGAGAGATCAACTGGCGTTTACCATTGGCTCCACACGACCGGGGGGTGAGGTCAGAGATCGCTGGGTCTTGGTTGGTGTTTCACAAAACGAAGCTGAGAGATCTGGAGTTAATTTCCATCTTAGGTAGGCCAGCTTAAATCTTGCGGGCTCGGGCGGCTTTCCAGCCTGATTGATCTACGTCAGAATCAACGATGAATACCTGGAAAGCGGTCTCCTCGTACAAAACAAGTACCTCAATACCGTCATCTGTCTTGGATCTTCACCAGGAAGGTTGTACAGAGAGGCGACGGAAATTCTGGTGATCCTCCTTTCTAGATTGAGTACAGTACAAGATGGAACGCTAGTTCTCGTGGAATGATGGCTTGTTTGCCCCTCCGATACCGAAGTAGTAATTTCGTGCTCACGAACGACCTTTTAGCTATATTCTCCGCCGTATAGCATCGCTGGTCAACCATTAGAGCACCAACTAGTTAACTGCTCCGCACGATCCGGATGGGGGATCCATGCCCACTACGGAGTGTTGCGAACTATGAACGGAGGCGCGCGTACCATCATCAATATAGTGATCTTGATGGATCGATGGAGACGGTGAGAGGCATGAGCCGCCACCTTCTGGACTGCCAGGCCTTCATCTGAGTTGTTCTTTTGGCCATGTCTTTCCACGTTTCCCGCTCTTCATCGCTTTTTTCTGAAAAGAATTGCCTCAGAAATTGAATCCGGGGTCCAGACGAATCGGTGTAAGTCACAACCCGGATTTCAGGCGTGTTCAGGCGCAAGGGCAATGAACAACGGTGACCGACAAGAGCGAGAAGCTGGAGAGAAGGACGAAAAAAGTGACTCCAGGCCTCACCGCTGGTTTCATCGCGATGAGAATGACATCGAAAGTCTGATTTGGGCAAGAAGGGGGGATCAAAGGGAGGGGGGAGGAAGACTGTCATTTGACTGACAAGCTCTATCATTCCAGCTGTCCATGCTCGGCTGATGGCGCCAGGGCTGGTGATAGGCCCGGGAAGCTTCTTCCTGCACTTGCTGCAGCACCTCCTCGCAACCCCTTGCGTGTAGATAGTGGAGAAGAGGTGCAGCGACGATGTCCCACTTGGGCGGCCCAACCCCACCTTTCTTTTGTTGTTGCTGCTTGCTGTTCGGTCACTGGCCCATGAATTATTCTCGACGGACTCAGAGGTACTGTACGGATAGCGCGCCTCCATTGTTCGAACAAGGTCTTGTCTTTCTTTTGTTTCCTTTCTCCCTTCTTTCTTTCTTTCTTTCTTCTTTTCCACCCTCCATGCCTCGTGGTGGTGGGAGGAATGAAGAATGAAGCTGACAGGTCAGGGACGAATGTCGTACAGGAAGTGGATGAGAAGACGTGGTCCTCAGTAAGAGTGGTGGTGGCGGGGGTGGAGGTGTAGAGATGACGGAAGGGGGGAGGGGGGGAGGAGTGTGCCCTTCCCACTGAAAGCTCTCACGTTCTTTCTTCTTGATCTGTCTTCTCTACCTCGAGAATCAACCGAATCTTTGTTGCTGCTCTTCTTGTACTGTTAAGCGCGTCTACCAAATTAGCTTTGCACTTCCTTCTCGAACGTTCCAGATTACTGTAACATTCCACTGTTTCTCTCTTCTGTTAAGTCTGTTGCTGCCTCGTGTTCATGTGCTCTGATCTCGACTGCTGATTACCGGAATAGAGAAAACATCATCCAGCATACCACATGCTTCAGCTTACATCCAAGTCAAAACATGGCCTTCCTGCCGACAATTATGCAGGTATAGGGCGGAGGGGAGTTCACTGTATGCACATCGAAAAAGCACAATGCGCTGCGCGGTCCGTGTTGAGTCTGACACGAACTATGGACGATGTGTGGGATGAAGAGGATGATCCTGTGGAGATAAGTCCAGGGCTAAAATTATGATCGGCCTGTGGATGCTAACTGCAGTTGTATTGTACCTACTTACACAGTAGGTACTACCCTACCAAAGCTCTGACAACTTGGCTACAACCCTGTCAAGTTTTCCTAGAGACTAGGTTCGAGAGACAGCTGAGAATTAAGATGTCAATGAAATACCATCGGACCCCGGTTATTATCCCGTGTCAGGTATCATTATAAGTACTCCGTACGGAGTTAGAAATCAAATGATGGGACAATCAAAGGCCGAGAGGGAACCAAGAGGGAAGGGAAGGGGAGCCCGCTACGGACGGGCCGACTCCCGCAGCCGTCGTACATACATACTTACATACAAGGTTACATACCAACTTACTTACCTACCTGCGGGGTCCAGCCCGGTCAATACCTAGGTACTCATTCGTAGGTATAGTCAGTCACCTTTATACTCTTCCGTCTTCCGATTCGGAGAATTGGCCTGCGTAGGACAAGATATAGATAGGAGATAGTAATATAGTCCCAATTGGGAATCAATCTTCCCCAACAATATAGCAAAAGAGCGGCATAAGACAAATTGAGAGAGAGAAAGAGAGGGAAACAAATGAGAAATGAATAGGGGGGTGCAGAACAACACTCATTCCCAGTTCAAGGGATCCGTTCGGAGTTACAGGGAGGATCTAACCATAGGCACTGAGGCAGGCATACAATAGTGCCGTTACGTAAGTAGGTGTCAAAGCAAATCAGTTTGACCTCAAGTTTTCTCCCAGTTGGCATCCTAGCCGCCTGTCATTAGCAGGCAGTAGTTAGCAACAGCAGCATCAATCAGCATCATTCATTATCATTACTACAGACTATTATCTATTCTATCTTCCCACCGTCAGCGGTCCAGCCCAGGGATCATTGATGGCTCTGCGCTAAGTCTGCGCCTGATCAAGCTTGGAGGCTTTTTTAGTTCATTTAGTTCGGTCCATTTAGCTTGATGGGCTAAAGATTTCCATCCAGTGCACACCAATAATCTCTTCCGATCCCCACCATTAATTCATCTCGGCCTACTCCCTCTCTTTCAGTATCTACCGTAGTTTCCCCTCCCCCCTCTCCCCGCCCCCCCCCACTTCATTGGAAATTTCAATCAGCCAGATGGTTGGCAATTGACATTTCACCATTGACACTCACTGATTGTGACACACTGACAGAAAAGAAAGACTAACAGACTAGCGGCTCCCTAAAAAGTGAACGGGCTCAACGGAGTCAACCGCCGGCCCCTTCAGCATCCGGGCCTATCCCTGCCACGCTAGGACGAACTGCGTAAATGCACGGGGATCAAATCAGATCAATCACGGCCGGGGATCGCGCGCCGTCTCGCTCATTCGATGCACCATTCAGGACGAAAAGGCTTGGGGCTGATTCGTGATGACCGGTCCGGCTGTGTCTCGCTTTCCTCGAAGGTGAGGAATTATCCCGGGTGCAGATGTGGGGAACGAATTTGACTCATTCACTGCTGTCCTCCTATGGGTGCGTAACTTACACTCTAGTACGATAGCCCAAGGATTCTTCTACTTTCAAGATTATTTTTCTTCCTGGGATGGAGCTTTGGGTCGATTCAGTCGGACTGGTCACTGGCGTATGTAAGGACTACACAGTATACTGACCATACTCAGTACTAATTAACTTTTAGGAAGGTTGCGTTGGGCTAGCCATGATTTTACCTGTCAAATCCTCGGCTGTACCTGCAGCTGCCATGCAAGCGCAAGCAACGAACCACCCTTCCAGGTTGCCTCGCGCCTAGTCTAAGAATTCTTCAGCTGTCTGCCAATTCTTCTCCGTACCCTACAGACTTCCAACCGGATGCACAACAGTGCAGCTCCGACGATGACTAGCACGGGTGGGGGAACTGACCGGGAGCTCCGACATTCTCCTTCCTCCCTCCCCTCATCTTCCATCCGCCTATCCGGGGCTGAGAGGGTTCGAGCCGAGGCCATCGATAACGAACTAGCAAGTAATAACCCCCTTCACTGTCTGAAGACCCCTTGGGGGGGGGGAAGGGCAAAGACAAATCTCCGTCTGCAGTGCGACCTATGCATTAACTTACTGATAGGCGATGCGGGAATAACCGATCAAGAGAACGTAAACGTATTCCATCTGAATTCTTTGTTCCGACCGGACAATTTGCACCACCACCACATCATTCTCGTATCATCAATCTCAAAATCAACTTCAAGTACTACTGTACTCTCCGGTCTCAGAAGACACGAATACCGTGCGGATCATCGAGTCGAGTAGGGTTAGGGAATGGCCCCCAAGGACATCAGCTCCGAGCAGGGACTAATTTTACTCCATTCGTCCACCGGCCGGCGCTTACAACACCTGATTTCGCGCAGGGATTCAATGACCGGAATGTTAGTCGGTTTTTGCAATGATACTGCGGCCTATCTTTGCGATTGGCTCTACTTACTGAGTATTTCTCCTGCCCTTTCCGTATTTGTTCGGCACTTGTCGAAGCCGCCCAGAAGTCCTCGATCCCATCGACCGACCATAACAACCCAGCTCAGACCGAGTCGCTTTCTTCGTCCGTCCGTGTCCGACTACGAGGGCCGCCATGGCTATAACCAATGAGCCAATCAAAGGTCGCCTATGGCCTTAATATATGTTTCTACTGTTCTTTGGGGCGAGGCGGGTAAATCCTTCATCATCTGATGATCCGAAGTCGCTTTTCGGTGGTGGAGGGCGGGCTGCACGCAGTAATTAACCTTACATTGCATGTTCCGGCGAGTTACCCGTGCACGATCGACTGCGCAGGTGGACTGCCTTGCGTTAGATTAGTGGAGGACCAGGAAATTGCGGATGTGGGATCCTGCTCGCCATCTTCTTGCTCACTGGCTTTCTTTCTTCCCTTCTTTCTTTCTTACTGTGGTCTTTTTCCCAGATCAGATCCCAAGAATAATTCTACAGAACAAGATATGCTTACTTTCCACTCTGGTAATCCTGAGCGATCTGGATTCGATACACAGGGGGCCTTACCTGGGCCAATTGCGACCTTTCGATCCAGAATATTGTACGGCATGTCACGATGGCATCATCCCATACCCCAAGAAGAGGGTGTCACAGACACACTGAGAGGTGCCACACATACATGGTGGCGATGGTTGGCCACCGGGCTGAGGATCCATGTCCCCGCGACACGGACCCCTTCTCCTCTTTTCCCCCCCGTTAATCATCCAAGAACAGCATCTGAGCTACCTATATTAGGGGACAATTAAGACTCTTCGGATTGGCCAAGTTTGATCATGCATTGATTGGCAGCAGAGGCAACCACGTATGTGCTGGCAAGGACATCTACTAAATCTTTCTCTCTGTCCCCCTCCATCTACTATTTTTCCCTCTAATTCTTGATTTTCTTTCTTTTTGTCTTTTCCCCCTTTTTCTTTTCTTTTCTTTTTCTTTTTTTCTCTCTTTCTTCTCCCTTCCGTCTTTCATTTCTTGCCTTGCGCCCGTCTACCGTTGATACCGGCAGCCGGAGAACATGGCTGGCTGTTGCAGTGCCTTCAATTGGAGACCTCGATTGATTGACTGGCTGACTGACCGCTTCTCTTCTATGCCATCCTTGCCGCTCCTCGCGCGTCTGTGCCAGGGTCGGTTTCAGCTGCAACGACCCGTGATGCATATGCGGACGCAGGGTTGGGTTGGCCGTTTTGCGAGGACAAGTCGCTAGCATACCCGGAGGTGGTGTTGGGGATGTCGTTTCTGTACTCCCCCGCTAGAATTCTTTTGATCTCTCTAGTTTGTGACCCTTTGCACAACTGTCGAGGATTGAGCTACAGCACGTAGTGTAGTAGTGTGTGCACATTCCAAGGTGACATACATATGTATGTCACTTCCATAGCGGCCGATCCACGGCCCCTCTCTGGAGGGGACGATCTGCCCCTAATTATAGCTTGTCCAGCTGATCAATGGTGATTGAAGTCGACCATCCATCAGCCATTCATCCTTCCATCCCTTGATTACACCACTGGCCGCCCACCCAGCCACGCATTCGCCTCGCTTCACCGTCTTTCTGCTGCTGCTGCTGCTGTCGCCGCCGCCGCCGCTCCGGAATGCGTGCGTTGTGCGCCGTGAGGCAGGATTGATTGGAGTATTGAGATAATGGCGAAGAGGAAGTCCCTCTTTGTCAATTGCCATCTTAGCACGCATTCTGATTGGAGGTAGACTCAGGGAGTGAGGTGGTGTCGCGCTGCGATGCGATGTACTGTAACTTTATTGATATCTGGAAAATGATTGCATCGGTGCTGCCCACGGTCAGTGATATATAGATCACAACTGTGGACATCTGAGTAAAAATGTTGTACTTTTTTTTTGTTTTGTTTTTGTTTTTTTTGTTTATTCTTTTTTACCCACTCAGAATCATGTTGAGGATGTGCATACTATGAAGGGAAGAATGACCCATTCGTACTCATTCTCCTCATCTCAGTACCAGTAGGCAAAAAGTTGATTCCCATCATTCCCATTGTACAGTAAGTCAACGATAACGACCTAGCCAGCTTATCGATAAGCCCCACCGCCCCCAATCATCACATGACTCCATCCCTCCCTCTCCGCCTACGCAACCAACTGTATCCATGGATCGTAAACAAAAACATTCTTTTTCATTTTCAAACCTTCGACACCTAATCGACAAACCACCAAAGTCTAAACGACAAAAGCTTCCAGCCCCCCTCAACTTACAGCCGGCAGAATATACCCCACGCGTACTTGATTCTGCAGAGAAGGAGAACCCCAAATCTAGCCAATCTGCGCCTTCTCTCGGGAAGTAGCAAAAATCAAAAAGCGCAACTTGCAAGGGAGGTGAGTGGTTCCGGCCTTAAAAAAAAAAGGCAAGAGACAATGCCACCACCACCACTTCACAAGGGATCCACATTCAGTCCGAACCCACAACCTCGAGCCCGCTTCTTCGACGTCTTCAACTCCGCCTCGACGGGTCATCAGGTTGCCGATGGCGGCGGCGCCCGCGGGCGCGAATGGCGGATCACCCGGCAGGAGAAACTGGCGCGGCAGTTTGGGTCGAGGGATGGGGATTGCACTTCTTCGCCTGTCTTGACACCTGGTGCTGCTGCCGCGGAGGGAATGAGGGATGAGGGTGGGGAGGAGGAGGCGGGGAGGGGAGAGTGGGTGTTTGCTGCTGCTCATTCCGATTCTGTTTGCTCTGGAAACAACAACAACAACAACAACAACAACAACAACAACAATAGCAGCAGCAACAGCAACTACTCCAACAACGTCGGTGCGGGGTCGCTGTTCGCTGCTCAGCAGCACTCGCAATTGCGCTCGGCGCATAATGGGTTGAGACATGTCCAATTGGGGGTTCGGGCTTCCTCCCCATCGACAGCTACGGGTCAGATGGATATACGAAATATGCTTGGTGGGCAGGTTCGCAAACGAGGATACCCTGGGGCTGTGAGTGATGGCTGTGGTGGTAGTGAATCCAGGGCAATTGGGATGAAGAAAGCGAAGGTGCAGACGCGGTATAGCCTTGACTGGGCTACAGGGATAGCACCGCCAGCAGCAGCAGCAGCAACGACGACAACAGCAACAAAAGGAGGTGTATCTGCGATACCCCTCATACCCACTTCCTTCAAGTCTCATCCCACACCTACACCTACACCTACACCTTCCATCACCTCGACGACTACGACCACGACCACGACCACGATCAAGAAATCAACATCAACACTTCCCTCAACGACATCTGCAACGACCCCATCTACCTCATGCAAAACTATACCGCCATCCCTGCATATCGAACCAATGAACAACAAAAATATCTTCAACTCCCTCACCATCCACATCAACGGCCAAACAACCCCTCTCATCTCCGACCACGCTCTCAAGCGCCTCCTAGTCTCTCAAGGAGCCACCCTTAGCCTCTCCCTCTCTCGGAAGATCACGCATGTCATCATTGGAGTCCCCAATGCGGGACCGGGCAACGGCGGCGCGGGAGGTGGACTCGCCGCTACCAAGATCCAGAAGGAGCTCCAGCGCGGAGGATGGAAGGGGGTGAAGATTGTAGCGGTCCAGTGGTAAGTTTGCCTCACCCCCGCCTTTACGCCCCTCGCATATGCCACTGTCTTTCAACAGGGGAATCCGAGTTAGAAAAGGTGTAAGCAGTAAGTTAGGTAAGTAGGAAATACCCGTGCTGATTGAGACCTAAAATAGGGCTTTGGATAGTATCAAGGCTGGGAAGCGGCTCGCAGAAGGTAGGTATGCGGTTCAGTTAGGAGGGAGGCAGAGGAGTGTGCTTGGGTTCTGCTCCTCGTCATCTGCGGCAGTGACACCGACATCTGCAGAGGGCGTATGATGCATACATACACAATTGCTCCTGCAATACATTTCCAACATTGACATCGACATCGACTACGACTCCATTCACCACTTGACTTTGAAAGATACCCCATGCAATCTGCGCTCCATCCTCACCAGGCCATCATACATTTGCGCAAGCTTATCACGATAATGCGTTAATCTCAACAAGGATCAAACACGTACACACATACATACATTAATATATCCAAATCCTCATATATACATTATCGAGTTCATCAGTCATCATTTATATCATATATCATACCATTTGGCTCAGTTCTTAAAGAAATGCCCCCTTCTTCCCTGGAAGGCCTCCACTCCCTCCGCCACTGCTCCGTCCTGATTGATGTCTCCGCCAGCCCTCGCTGCTACCTCCTATCCCGCTCCCGCGGGTCGGCGGGGACGAGACGAATGTTCCCGCGCTACTGTCGGACTCGCGTCGTAACCCCGCCATTCCGATTGGCGCGTATGGATCAGCCAGCGGTTCTTCATCGGGCAGAGGGGGCAGCGGGTTCACGCGCAGTCGTGCCGGATACAGTGATTCGCTGGAGAACATGCGATGCGATTCAAGAGAGTCGGCTCGGTGGGATTGACCCGATGGTAACGGGTCCAGTCCGTCGTTCCAGATATCGTCGTCATCATAAGCACTGCCCAGGGCCTTCTCGTCCAGGTCATCCGATCTCGAATCCCCTCGCACCAGGCCAAGGCGTTCTTCCTCGGTTGCGCCCGACGAGCGGTGATAGTGGTGATGGAGGCCGCTCTGCCGTGAAACAGGACGAGCCGCGACAGGTTCGGGGCTACCGGCTTTCATTCGTCCGAGGACACTGGTGAACGAAAATTGCCGTTCAGCGCCTCCGTGCGGAGGGGGGCTCGGAGGAGGAAGAGGGTGATTGTCATTCTCAGTATCGACCGCTGACTTGATGGAGCGGCCGTCTCGGCCAGCATAGTGAGTATCGGGGTATTTGCGGTTTGATTCCATAGCCTTCAGCGACATGGGATCAGCCTCCGAGAGATGCAACGGCTCTTTGTGTAGCGGTTGCCACGTCGGGTGGAAGATACTGTTCGCGCGTGAGCGGAGGTCATCTAGGAATGAATTGTTGCTCTGTGTCGTAGTCGGTCGGGGCGGTTCATCGTCCTCCTCATCCTCGCATTTCGGCTCCTCTGGTACGCGGGCCATACCCAGCGGTGGAAGTGGATGGTGTCGGACGGACGGGGTGCGTGTGCGAGCTGCCATGGTGGGACCCTCGCCGAGAACGGTCTTGCGCCGGCGCAGTCCATCCCACTCAATGATCTCATTCTCGGCCAGCGGAGTGTGTAGGTCCTCCTGGCGGTCGTGATAATAGCGGCGGGCTTCTTCGGCCTCCATGGTCCGGCGTGGGGTAGAAATGCGGCGGATGATGGCAGCGGCGCCGCGGATGGAGTCGGCCTTGGGCTCGAATTCGTGTTCTTCCTGCGTCGCAACCTCGCGGACCTGGTCCAAATCGCCCTTGAAAACGGCAGCATCGGGGACATCTTTGGCAGATTTGGATAGCTGTAGCAAGACCACGCCTGCGCAGATCTGTAGGAACCCGAGGACGACGGTGACGATGTCTTTGACAGAGCCGTGGAAACCCTGGAACAAAACGGCGGAGGTGACGATGGTTGCGCTGGTGAAGAAGACGTAGTAGGTCGGAGTAACGAGGGCAGCATTGAAGATATTCAGTGCTTTCTGTATTCGGTCAGCAGACATTCATCTTGGGCAGGTGGGCGGAAGGAAGAGCACACACATTTAGATAAATGATTTCTGTCAAGAGCGTTGCTACCACAAACACTAACAGAACATACAAGAACCATTCCTTGAACTGCGACTCCCCATTGATCTGCGCCAGAATGGCCGAGCCCAGCCCCTGTGTCGCAACAACGCTCAGCCCCCCAATCAGCGAGCAGATACTGAGATACACGAACATGGACTTTTTTCCGTATCGCGGCCCCAGATATAGTGCGACGAAAGTACACCCGACGATGATCACCCCGGCATAGGACAGAAACCCGGGGGTGATCACATAGTGTTTCATCTCCTGTATGTCGCTGACGGACGACTGCTCGGGCGCATTGAGCGGGATCACCACGGAGCCAATAATGCAGCAGAAACAGCCGACCTTGCCGACGAAGCTGAGGCGTTCCTTGAGGAAGATGGCGGAGAGGATGGTACACACGACGACGGTGAGCGCGCCCAGCGGGGTTACCAGGATCGCATCAACGAACGCATAGGCTACGAAATTGCAGATCTCGCCGACGATCATGAGGGTCATCCCCCCCCACCAGTAGAGGTTCTTGAGATAGCCGTACCCCTCGCCGGCCTCTTCGTTGTATTTGACATTGGCGCGGAGGAGGCCGATCTTCTTGAGGACGAAAGAGGTGCCGATGAAGAAGCCGGAAGCGACGGCGAGGCAGATACCGACGACTTTATAGGAGGCGGGTCGCGAGGAAGAGGAGGAAGAGGCGGCGGAAGAAGTTGTTTCTCGTGCGGCCAAGAGGGCGGCTGTTGTGGTGTAGTTGTAGAGCGCTGTCATCGCTGCGGCGGTTGTCGTGGCAGCCATGATGATCGAGAAGAGGGCGGGAGAAAGATAAGGGAATGGGAAAGAAAGTGGTTCAGAGCGGAGAGAACCACATGGAGATGGGAGATGGGAGATGGGGAGAGGGAGAGAGAGAGAGAGAGAGAGAGAGAGAGAGAGGTGATTTGATGAAGACACACTGCCAGCAGTGAATGACTGAAATGGTGGTACCTAGTCAGCAGAGAACCCCCTTTTTCTTTCTTTTCCAATTGATCCTGTGCCTTTCCTGTGTATGGTCTCAGGCTGAGGTTGGGAGCAGGAAGGAAGTCGGGGCGAAAAAGAAAGATCGAATATAATTAGACGGCGCTAAAGAGCGTGGGAAAAGAGCGTGGGAAAAGAGCGTGGGAAAAGAGCGTGGGAAAGACGGTGGCTGAGTTGCGACAACACGGGAATGTGGAGTGAGCCGGTGGGTGGGAATGTGTCAGGTTGATAACATAAACATTCTAATCTACTTGCCAAAACCTGGGGCTGTCTGGACTCTGGACACAAAAGAGCAGAAGCGATGTAGTAAGTGAATAATTAAAGTTGCAGTAATGTTGATAGATATCTGAGAGTCAAATTTGTGGTCATTGTAAGATGGACCGTCAGAAAATAAAAAAAAAAACAATAAGAGAGAGGCTGGGGAAGCACAAAGAAAGGTTGAGCTGCACGTGCAGCGGGTCTGTCTGTCTGTCATTTACGTACAGTACAGTACATACTTCACTTACTCGATACTTTAATTACAGTACAACATGACCTCTCAACAGATCTGGAAATATAATAGGAAATTCATTCACTCATTAGGGTATCCTTCGATTCAATATCATCAAGTCAAGTCCTCAGTCAAACTCCTCTCTCTGGCCTCCTTTTCCTCCACTATGCTTTCGACGGGACTTCTTCGGGTATCCTGACACCATAACGTCAGCAGCCCCCCCTTTCTCCATTCCACAAAGTATTAGGCAGGTCATATCATAGAATTATCTCCCTCATCGAACATGATAACTCGGTTTCCGCTGCTTGTTCACCACGGGGGGTTCATCCATAGGATATGGCGGTCGGGTCTTCCCGCCCGCCCCGGAATATCCGTGGCCACTATTTGTCGTCATCGGAGGCATCACTGTCGGCATCGGCATGGGAATTCCCCCAAGTTCACTGGGATGGTCAGGATAAGGAATGGGGGTTTTCGGGGGCACGGGTGGAGGCATTTCTTCCCCGTTATGATGCGACGGCAGCTCAAAACTAGGCCGCGAAGATCCATGGGGACTTGGACTGGCCAGATCACTGCCTGAGCCACGCGCTGGGGAGCCTAGAACTGCATCGTGCGGCGTCGGATGCGCGGGGAGTGTATCATCGGTCGCCGTCATCGGTCGTAAAACAAAATCGCCTGGCAATTCGGCAGGCAATTCCACCGCCATCGGATGGGGCAACGGAGGCTGCACCGACAGGACGGGACTGCCCAGGATGGAACTGGTCTCCTCGACTGCCTCATTCCCTCCAGTCGCCGCCGCATGGTCGGCCAGTCGTCGATGCTGTCGGTTGATTTTGGCAAATTTGACCCCTGCATCGAGGATCTGTCGCTTTACCTCTGGTCGAGTCAGATAGCGCCTTGTATTAGTGCTGATGTCCGCCAGGCGATTCCACTCGTTCATGCCGAACTCGCCTACCCCGACCTCAACATTCAATCGGTAATAGTTGTCCTGGCTCACGTTGCGCTTCGAAAGATGGTCGCGCAGCATGGCCACATGAATGTCTTCACAGCCCTCGATTTTGGCGATCAGTCGCCGACGTGCCTCCGCGAACGAGCCCAGCGCATCCCCGAAGAAATCCTCCCACCACTCGTGTTGGCGGTTGTTCGTGCCGGGCGGTCGCTTGCCGGTGCCGACGCTGACGAACACACCTACTTCACGGCCCGGCCACTCGTTCACCGTCGCTTCGTCCAATACCTGTGGCGCCGGATTATAGGTGCCGGCCCCTTCATCAATGAACACGTGTTGGCCGATCTGGATCGGCTTGAAAGCCATTCCGGTGGCCGAGGTGGCCCGACCGGCCTGCCAGATTGTACAATTGAACTCGGGTGGGGGCTCTTTGCGGGAATCGTATGAACGGAGCATGACAGACGACCCATTTCGGGTAGTACCTTTGTAGAGAGCGGTGACCGCGCTGAAGAAGTTTAGTAGAGTCCATGTGACAGTGGGAGCGCAAGAGGCCATACGTTTTGGTTCGATATTCCCGATTGTCATACAATAACGCATCCGGGTTTCCCCACCGCAAGCCGTTCACAAATGTAGAATTGCGATGACTGTTGTGACCGGACGAATGTGCCGTACTGGTGGTGCTGAAACTAGCGCGACTACCCGAGCGCTGCGGAATGGCGATCGCATTGGGGCTATAGGGGGCACCGGCGAGTGAATTTCGCGCGCTGCCGGGGGTCATGTCGTTCCCCTCGGCCTCGAAAACGGTATGTTCACGGACGCATTCGCGAATGGCCTCTTCGAGTCTGGAGGCCTTGAACAAGGTGGAGCGAAATGGGATGCCGGCAATGGTTTTGTCGGTTTCGAAGACCCGGCGGGTCATGCGCACATAGACTTCCTTGCAGGTTTCGAGGTCAAGGCGGAGACGGCCCAACATGAGGGCAATGAGACCGCCGGTTCCGGTACCAACGATCAGATCAAAATGGTCGCATGGTTTGGGAATCTCCTCACGACGAGGTGCCTTTCCTTCGCATTCAACGTAGACACGGTACATGAGTTCTTGGAGGATAATGAGCATGGAATAGCCCCGGACGCCGCCACCATCTGGGTGTTGAGAGCATAAGAGTTAGTATGGGAAGTAAGAGCCGGAGATAAATGCCCTACCTAGCGAGAGAATCCTCAAGGGAGGGCCCTTGGTGGTATCCTTGCGGCGGAGATTGACGGAGTAATCCATGACCCCGCGGGGTTGAGACACGCACGATCAGGCGTAAATGGTTGTGGTTGTAGGCAGTAGAGGCGAAGAGTAGTGCTCCTGATGATCCTGGTGAGATGGCACAGAAATGAAAGTAGACAAGTGCTGACCGAAGATTGGATGAAAGATAATGGTGGGAGAGTGACAGATATTTTTTTTTTCTTCTCTGTCTCAGCCTCTGGCGGCAAGAAGCGAGGAATGGAGTGAAGAATGGAGAATGACTACAAAATGATTACTCCGGAACGAACGGTGATGGCATGAACGGCTGATGCCGGCTGCTGCGCCACGCCCCGCTGAGATAATCAGTTGGGAATCAGAGAAGACACGAGCGGGTCTTGTAGGGCAGATAAACCGTCATCTGATTGGTCTCATGCAGGGTGCCGTGCAGGTGGCGGTGCAGAAGAGAAAAAGTGGAACCGTGCGTATTTCAAGGTTGCCATACGAACTACCTTCACTGGGCTGCCTACCTAAAGGTACCTGACGTAATGAGCCCAATTGGGCAAACACTACGGCGGGGAGTACCTTACCTTGCCTGTTAAAGTACTACTACGTACTAGGCACAGTACTACCTAGTACTCGGTAGGTACGCGAAGTATAAGTGGTACGAGTAGTTTGTCAGGTTTGCGTTGAATCGGATGGGCTGTATATTTTTGTAATAAAAAATGTCATTGATGAGGGAACCTATCAGTACCAGCAGCATCCAAGCTTAGCTCTATAGCCAGTTGGCCGCTTCAACCATGGGACTGCCCATCCCAGGAACCGGAACAAGATCTTTCCGCGGTGCATTGTTGTTGACTTGTTGACTAGGGTCTTTGTCCCACATCCTCCTCCCTTACAGTATGCTCCCTCTCGTATCTCGTGCCCAACCCCCTAGATTTCAATTGGTCAACCCGGGCCAGTCTATGCAAGTCATTCAGTCAGTCATGCCAGTCACCGTCGAGTTCGTATCACAAGTCATTGTGCTCTGCAGTCAGTACTCACCGTACACCATTCGTTCATCCATGCGTCGAGTGACAACCACCTCATCACCCACCTGCACTGTCTGACCCTCCGACTCACCGTCGAGAAAGACATACCGACCGAAGACTGGGCTAAATTTCGCCCCTTTGTCGACCCTACGGTCTTTCATCAATTTCTTCAACACATTGCCCATCTCCCCCTGTGCCATCGCGCCCGTCGCATAGTCGACATTCAGACTCTGACACCGAACGCAGTTGGCTGTCAGCAGCAGCCGCGCTTTTCCTTCTTTGCCAGACCCAATAACCACCTCCGCCCAGAAGTCTTCCTCGAAGGCCTCTTTCGCGCCAGCCACAACAATGTTTGGGCGGAACTTGGTGACATCCATGTCCAGGCCCCCTCCCAGCCGCTCCGACACGTTGTCCACCGATGTCGCCGACACTAGCAGATACGGGGCCGTATCCGCGAATGTGATGCGTTCCTCTCCTTCCCCTCTTGTACTGACTCGATCATAGATAGCCTTTCCCCCAAGCATAACCACTAGCAACACGATCACCGCTGCCGCGCTGGACATCGACAGTGCTTTCTGTGCGCCCGTCGTACTCAAGCCCACTAGTAGATTGAACAAAAGGGTCATCCCAGCGATCCCAACCACTGTCCCCGCAGTAAGCATGCCCGCATCATTTTTCTTTCCTTTTGGCTTTCCTGTGGTTTCTTGCTTGATCACCCCCGCATGCGCTGCACTTTTTGAGGGCTCGAAACTCCCGAGAACCCGCCTCGAATGTGGTCCCAGGTAGGCCAGCACAACGGGGTATCCGAACCACTCGCTGAACCAATCATTATACTGCGCCCCCATATTATATCCCTTCGTGGGGCTCTGATGCATCACGATGGCCAGCTCTTCCAATTGCCGCGTGTCAGGACAAAGGGGGAGGTGGAGGATGCGGGTTGATTTGGTGCCATTATCATCGCTGAGGGTCTCGCTCGCAGCTGGCCGAAAGGTCACTATAATCTGTCCTGGTTCCGTACCACCCTCGCTAGGGAGGACAATCTCGGCTTGGAAAAGGGACATTTCTGGAAAGTGTGGAACATGCATGTTCTTCAAGGTGCCATCGTCAAGGACCTTCAGGAGCATGAACCGTCGATCGTAGAGAAAGCCTGTTCGGGTGACGGTAGCGGACGAGAGGGCCGTCCCACGAATCGACTTGATAGGGTAAGTGTATAGCTAGATAGACGATGAGTTAGTCTTCATGTATTTCTGATCACGTAAAGCGAAGGGTTCCAGCCCATCTCTCGGAAGCTTGGAACCCTTCATCTCGCGAACGAAAGTCAGGTGAAGATGATGTAGAACTCACTTGGAGAAGTCAGAGAACAGACATACCTGGCTGATATGCATGGCTGCGAGATGGCTGGGTATGCAGCGTAGTTGTTGCTGTTTCTATCAATGATACTTCAAATCAAGTTGGAGCCTCCCTCCCTTGGACATTGAAACAGGATACGGGCGTCATGTTGTTGGGGGCCAACTGATACGGAAACGAGCATCTATTGCACGTGCTGATTAGCTATCTTAGGTATGTATCAGTCTGACTAAGACTCGATCGATTCCATTGATCAGTTACTCAGTAACTTGGTAAGTTAAATATGTTGTTGTTGGGGCTGTTTCAGGTTCAAGACAAGATAGAGAAAGTGTTTTATCGGCAGTGATGGTATCTGGTCGGACATGTTGCAAGAAGTGGTGGTCTAAGCAATGTGCAGCACAGTACGCAGGACGGAGTACATAGTAAGTCAACTGTTGCGACTTGCAAGTGCGGTACAATGTCTTGCATACTGAATCATAAAATTCGGGTGATGACAAGCCGCTTCGGACAAGATATTATCCGGACCGATTGGGAGAGACAGTGCCGTGGGTGCCAGCCAGTTGACTGACTGTATCCCACTCAAATGCGGGCGAAGAATAACCCTACGCTCACTACAAATTATTCCTCAGTACGGAGACTTGGTTGACAATAATAAAGTCTCCTTTTTTCCCATACTATCCGACTTTCGCATTGGGAGCCAGAGCCAGAGCCAGAGCCATAGAAATTAAACTATTTCCCTCCATTAATTGAACCTTGTTCTTTCCCGAGACACCACAGGCTGAGCCATTCTGAAGTGGGCAAGGATGGTCAGGAGTCGCCCAATTGAATGGGTCGGTCCATCCATGACTTCCACGGAACACCTCCTTCTCAGGAACACCATCTCCCACTCACAGAGTCTCCTCAACATACTTGGTTGACTCTAAAAACAGAATCTTTCTGACTAGTTAGGCTGATTGAGAGTAAGACCCTGGGGAGGGGAGGGAGGGGAAAGATGAGAATAGACCCCTAGTCTAGTGCAATGAGGAGCTCGAATCCAAGTCTAGCCTCGGGCGGAGGGTTGGAATTGTTTGTTTTCCCCTCTGGTACGGAGTCAGTTAGTTGGTTAAACTACAGTACATATACTAAGCAAGTTGGAGACCAGCTGATCGAGCCAAGCCCTACCTGGTGCCTTGCGTCCTGCACTACCATCACCATTATTACCACCACCAACCACTATTGCCATCAAAGTACGGAGTACGGAGTACACACAGTGACACACCGTCTCTTTGCACGAACACTGCACTCGATTCCCCTAGTCAGGCACACACGAGCTGAAGAACGCCTTCATGCGTGGAGCCCTGGCAAATATTACGGATCCGCCCCCGCTGGAGGTGAAACAGGCTAGTAAAGCAACTAAACCCTCATGGATTGCCCGCGTTGATGAGATTTCATTTAATCTCCCATAGAAAAATGACTAGTCAACCACCAGTCCAGGAAATGAGGTAGTTAGTCTAGTCGGCTGTAGTCTAGTCCCTGAGTGATCATCCGTTGGCCTCCTTTTTCTACGCCTCCTCCGCCCTCTTTTCTACCTCTTCCTCCCTCTCTTTTCTCTTCTCTCTTTCTCTCTTTCTCTCTCTCACCCCACGCACTCGCTGTTTCACCTTTACAATCCCGGTCTCCGCGCCGATTACGTTCTTTATCTCGACACAGTCGATCAATCCCGTCAATTCGTCACTCTTTTTGACACCAATATAAACTCAGCGCAAATCAATTCTCCGCCAATCTCGAGCCCTCTACACACACAACCACAAACACACCAAATCCATAAATCACCCGTCAATCATTCATCATGCGTGTCTCTTCTGCTGCTGTCGTTGCCTCCCTGGCTGCCGGTGCCATTGCGACCGAGTACAAGACCGTTGTTGTGACTGAGTATGCCACTTACTGCCCTCAGGCCACTTCTCTGGCTGCTGGTCCCGGTACTGCCAGCCAGGGTAACCCCTCTGCTGCTCAGGTGAGTGTTTATGTGTGAACCTGCTTGGATGCCTATGTGACTAATTGCTGGACAAGCCTTCCACCGTCACCATCTCCGGCACTGCCTACACCTACAGCACTCCTCTGGTCACCTCCACTGTGACCCACTGCGACAAGTGGTACGTCTCTCTCGTGTGCCTTCAACGGGGAACCAAGTGAATCGCTTTGACTGACAAGGACGATCTAGCTCTGCCACCGCTGCTCCTGCCACTGAGACCGGTGTTGCTGTTGTCACTGGCACTGGTGCCACTCCCAGCACGGGCTCGGGCTCGGGCTCGGGCTCTGGCTCGGGCTCCCCTAGCTCTGGCTCCGGCTCCGAAGCCTCCCCTAGCGGTGCTGATGCCGTTGGCACCGGGCCTACCCCCAGCTCCGGTTCCGGCTCGACCCCCGGATCCACTGGTTCTGAGACCTCCCCCAGCGGTGCCTCCTCTGGCAACACTGGTTCTACTCCCAGCTCCGGCTCGGGTTCCTCCGGTTCTAGCACCGGCTCTGAGTCTTCTCCCAGCGGTGCTTCCTCCGGCAACACTGGCTCCACCCCCAGCTCCGGCTCTGAGACCTCCCCCAGCGGTGCTTCTGCCGTTACCGGTGGTTCCCCCAATGAAGGCTCCAGCTCCTCCGGCAGCTCCTCCGGCAGCTCCTCCGGATCCTCTGGATCCTCTGGATCCCCCGGTGCTGGCGCTTCCTCTCCCAGCGGAGCCACGGGAGCCCACCCCCAGGGAGTCAAGCCCACCCCTGGCCCCAGCGGAATCTTCTCGACCCGCCCCGTGATCCCCTCCGGCCGTCCTTCCTCCTCCAAGCCCATCCCCTCCGCCTCCGCCAGCCCCGTGGCCAGCGCTAGCTCCAGCTCCAGCTCCTCTTCCTCCTCCAGCACCGGCTCCTCCCCCGAGGGTGTTTCCGCCCAGGGCACTGGCTCCAGCTCCGGCTCGGCCACCAGCCCCTCCGCCCCCGTCTTCACTGGCGGTGCTTCCCGTGCTGCCGTCGGCGCTGGTGCCGGTCTCGCCACCGTCTTCGCTCTCGTCGCCTACCTGTTGTAAGCTGCCTTTCACTGTACCTGAAATGCTGAAAAGGGGGGCGGCTCTTGTTGTATAGATGACCCGGGTAAGAAGGGATAAACCGAACAGATGGAGTGGTTGTAGGGAGCCCCAAAGCTTCCCCCCATCTCTTCTTCTTTTCGGAACATCCTATCTTTCGCTCCGGGCCCATACCCGGACTATGAAGAGAGCAGAAAACAAAATCTAATCCATTCCAATGCCAAATCACTACTGCTGTTTCCGATGATGTATCTCCTATCGTCCTCCAGCTGCAATCAACCACGTGAATTCTGTTGTTCTACCTTGAAGGAAGAAGAAAAAAAAAGGAAGGCGACGCAAGATGGTGGCAGCCAACTGCAGTGGGAGGGGAGAGATGCCTGATCTGATCTCGCCGTACGTGACTGAAGTGATTGGTAAATGGGCGGGGATGTTGGCAAGGACGGTCTCCTTTGTTCGCGTGTCTTTCCTGACTTTGACATCTTTTTGGTGTATTTGTGTGAATATCTTTTTCTTTTTCTTTTTCTTTCTTCTCCCTCTCATGACTTGCCATATAACTTGGTTTGATTCTTTTATGATGGCTTGCGCTTTTTTCTTTTTCTCTCTTTTCCCCTTCCTAACTTCGATGACCCATATTATCTGTTTTCCCTGGGCTTGGGCTTTGCATGTCTTTACCACCTCCCTTTTTTTTTCTATCAGCCCTTCTCATCTTGTGTATAATTTTAATGTCGATGTGTGAGGCATGCTCCTCGGACCACTGATTCGATTGACCTAAATTGTTCAAAGTGAAAAGAAGTCGAAAACCAAATTGATTCTCCGTCCTTCGATCCCATCCCGACTCCACGTCATCACCAGCGCTCTCCTCGTAGCCCATATAAAGCTCATCCAGATGATCGGGTTCCTTTGAGCACCATTCCTGCGTCATGATGGTATCCCCACTACCACTTCCCGCGTGGCCGACTGACACCCCCCCGGCCCCGCTTTGTTTATTGCTAGACCGCGACAAGACTTTGCCATACGGTGCCCCAGTACCGCTAAGGGAGAAGAGATATGCAAACTTTAGACATGCTCCTCCCCACCGTCATCAAGCGGTAACTCAGGTTAAGTGGTAGCTCAGCACTGTCGTGTACGAATTGGGTGAAAAAAGGGCCTGGGTAGGCAGCCTGTAATGCAAGTGACCTACATTACATTCAAGTCGTGCTTCGCCTCGAGCAATGCCACCTCGTTGATCAAGATCAAGTGGGCATATATGCTACAATCTCCTGTGTGCTCATCCAATTGTGATATGGGTGGGATTTTCCTCCCTTCATCCGCGCCCCTACAAGAGTTCCGGTTGTTCGACGCAGTCTTCCGTGAGCGCCTCCTGGGTCTTCTGATCGTCTAACATTTCCCGCAAAACTAGTCTGCGGGGGAAAAAAAAAGAAAAGAAAAGAAAGGACTGGCCCAAAATTTCCTGGATTGAAGCGTTTCATTCAATTTCTCCCTGGATGGCTTACTGATACTAAGGTACTCTCGCCCTTACCTCTACACACACAAACACACAAAGACAAGGAAAAAGCAAAGGGACTGGGAGAGACTGCAGCTATCCGTGCTGGAAACCACCACCACCACCACCACTTTTTGTTATTGTTAAAATATTCAACAGACGAGGGAAATGTGGGCAGTACCTGGTGGTGCGTAGGATCGGCAGATACTTCAATCCCAACCAAACATCTCCATGGTAAAATCCTTCGTTAAGGACCAGAATGTTTAAGTCAGAGCATCGGGCTAACAAAGTGACCTTAGTTAGCCACACGGACAAAATAACACGACGAACTAGAAAAAAAAAAAAAAAAAAAAAAAAAAAAGAGACGAAAGCGCAAGGCGAAGAGGATACTGGCATGAACTCATCTCCTCTCACCGGTAAGAAGCAGAACGCCTAGACAAACTGGTGCAAAACGCTCCCTGCGGGTAACTGCCTCAGAACGAAATTGTGTTGAAACCTAGCCTACCTTAGCCCCACAGTTTCTGCAGATAGCTACTCGTATGTCGCAGAGCCCGCCAAGTATTGCGACGTGCATTGGGGGGGGGGGCACTTAGGCAAGATATCGATGATGTACAGTACCCAGAGAGCTGCAGGCCGAATGGGTAGTACGATCTTGTCCAGAGATCCTCCCCGTCTGCCACAACGGGGTAGGGGAGTTGCGTTTTCTCCCCCGTCAATCATACTCCAGAGCATAAGTTGCCATTGCTCATTTGGTGGTGATGGATGCAGTTGTCATTTGTTGAGATCTCCCCATCTTGTAATTAACTTACCCGGTAGTGTCGATGGGCTGTAGCCAAATCGGCCCCACTAGGCAAGATCCTCGGATTACCTTAATTATTGTTCATACTATAATGGCCGGACCACTGACCCTGGTACGGCTAGCATGTCACTTGCAGCTGTGCTGCATGACGCCATCGGAAGCGCCCGGGACCTTGAAGAGAGATCAGATGAACTCGTTCCTGCGTAAGTAGAGTGAAGAACGTGATTGTCTGCTTGCTTGCTTGCTTGCTTGCATGATCTAAAAGATCAGCGTTGTGAGGCAAAACCACTAGATTTGCACGCGCACTAGAGAAAGAGACTGAGTAGATCCAAAATATAGTATGTAGATAGACAGTAGAAAGCTGTGGGAGGAGATAACGTCCCTGGCCTCAGATGATCAGGGACACCTCGTGAAGAGCATAGCGTCATTTCCACATTGCATTCTATCATTTAATTTATTGGGTCTTCTTTTGGTCTTTTGGTCTTTTGGTGGGGGTACAGATGCGTCAACATGAGCACAGCAAAATCAATGGGTTTAGAACAGAAAGGAGAAAAATAGAGGAGAAGGGGGGGGGGGGGGGGGGGGGGGGGGGGGGGAAGGATATAAAGTAAAGGGAACAGAACAAAGCACAACTCATAAGAGTTCAGCCGTAGGGTATCATATCGCAATGCCTGCTAAACGGTCGACTGCCATATCGTTGCTGGCTTCCAAGCGAACCATTCATTGAAATCCCATGTCCACCAATAATCTCCATTGCGCCCATCACACTCTACCACCCTGATGTGGCTGTCATCCATTTGTAAGGTTGTCGGTTGCTTTCATGCTGTTGCCTTGCACCATGGTGAAGCAGGGTTGAAAGCAGAATTCATATCCAGGTTGGGGCGGGGCCAACGGGCATCGAACCACAATAGCGATAGAAATAACAAGATAAGAATAGAACAGGAAGAATGAGAACCACACGCAGATTATTGCGAAAGAGCGCAGATAACAGACAAGAAAGAGGGCACATGAGGTGCGATACTTTCTTTGGTACTGGGAGCTCCTAGATCCGCAACCCTTTGAACCACAACACCCTGCTGTAGTCAAAACACCCTGCGGTAGAATCCAAGAAATGATCACCCGCGTACAACACAGAGAATAGATAATCGCAATTCATGCATCAAGCATAGCCTGATGCTCTGCCTGCATTGGTGGAACAAAGTGCACCCATGGTAGCAAAAAAAAAAGTGCTTTCAATACAGCATAACACAGCAAACGGAAATGATTTGCAGGCTGCACTCTCATATAGGCCGTAAAGATCGGCGAAGCGTCAAGCAGCCAATATGAGTAAGGGTACGATAATAGATAGATGTCGTGAGTTGGGTTGAACGGGTTTTCGTAAGAAAAGTCACATATGCGGAAGGTTTTGAGCCCTGCCACCGGCCCATTTCCTGAATCTCGGCAATTGTGTCTTGCGCTTCCTTGCAGGGTCTAGACCAGTATTGAACGGTCCGAAATAGAGCCAGGCGGCTGCATGTTTATATATTGCCAAGATCATAGGATTGTGCACTTGAATGGACGTCGATGACTGCCATTGCGGTCAGGTCGGAATGACCGAGGATATTCGGGGCCAGGATCACGGGCTCCTCCTGTCGGCCGCCGGTCTTGCGAGCGGCCCTGCTGCTGACGTTGCTGACGGAGCATGCGCACGACGTCGTAGAATGCCTTTTCCACATTGATGCAATTTTTGGCGGAGGCTTCGACAAATTCGCACCCGAGGTCTTTGGCGAGAGCCTGTCCTTCCTGTGCTGAAACCGCGCGCTCGACAGCTTTGTCGCTCTTGTTGCCGACCAACATGACAGGCACAGGGAGCGAAGGGCCAGAAGGGGTGTGTATGGGCGAGCCCAAGTAGCTAGCACCTGAGGGCGATCCGGAGTTGGCCGATTCTTTCACCATCTTGATCTGATTATAGAACTTCTGTATGCGGGAAAAGGAAGCTCGCGAAGTGATGCTGTAGACAAGTACGAATCCCTCTCCGTCGCGAATCCACTGATCCCTCAGTGCTGTGTACTCTTCCTGGCCGGCGGTGTCCAACACCTCCAACATGCATGATTGCTGGTCAATGACCACTTGTTTTCGGTAGGAATCTTCGATGGTCGGATCGTAGGTTTCAACAAAGTGATTCAAGCACAACTAGAGCGAAAGAAAGGGGGTCAGTTGGCCGAGGTTGAGCGCAGACATTTATGGTAGCAGCTAACCTGGATTGTGAGAGCCGTTTTCCCTACACCACCGTCTCCGAGCACCACCAGCTTGTAAAGTGTCATTTTTCCCGACATGATGAGTTAAGTATCTGTTTCGTGGCCAAGCAGTATGATCACTTTTTTCAAGACACCTGGCGTAAGGCGAAGAAGCCAGAAAGCGGTATTCTGGTAGAACTGCCGAGTGTAGAGAGAATGAGGGAGAAATGAAAAGGCGAAGGCGAGAGAGATGTATGCGGGCTCCACGGCGAGCACAGACGCGGAAACGGAGCGTTGCGAAACGATGGGGGTCCGAAGAACTAATTGGGTAGTGCGATTAGCCACTCAAAACCAAAGCTCTTAGACCGCTGCCCAAGCTCGCATACCCACCCCGGAAATGAGACGAACAACAAGTGTCCACGGCAAGACTTCGGGAAGAGCAAAGAAATTATGAGAGTAAAAATACTAAATGAGGCATACCTGGATCAATTGATATGGTGATGGAAACAGGTTTTGAGTAGCAGTGCGATAAAGACGTATTGCTGGTAAAGTTGCGTTGGCGACCCCCGAGAAGGTGGTGATGTGGGCGTCTGAGAAGCGGGTGTGAATCAAGGAGACTGAGGTTGAAGTTCGACGAGAAGTTCCGAGTTGACTCGAGGAATCTCAAGTAAGCGGCCACCCACAGTTGCAGAAGGGTACAATCAAGCGGGCGGAGTTTGATCGATTGGCTGACCCGTAACTCCGCGTGAACCGGGGGGGAATGGGAAAGCGATTGCGGGAGAGTAGGGGGAGAGGGGAGAAATTCCCCAGAAGAGGAGGAGGAGGAGGAGGAGCGGGAATAATCAAATTAAGGAGGAATCACTGAAGTTCGCACAAGTTGCGAGACAAAAAAAAAGATGACGATGAAGTTCGAGATTATGGGTGCTTCACAATGAATGCTAACCACGTGAGAAGAGGGGCGAGATTGCAGTGAAAAATTGTCAGCAAGGGATTAATTGGCAGAGAAGTCAGCCTGTGTAGATGAGCTTAAGGTAGAACGAACGACTTTCTGAATTGAGTTGGCGGGAAGGGAGAGAGGGGTATATGCGCAGGACCAAGAAGCAAGAAAGGCTTGGCCAGTCGGAGAAGTGTCAGAGGGAGGGGTTAACCTATAGATCTCTGTCTCGATCCAAGACCTTCCCTGGTTTAATACTGGAGAGATGGGGGGCGGGGGGGGCAGGGTAGCAGGAGAGCTGAGAAGACAGGGAGCAATGAGGTAGAGAGGGATGATTAGAAGTAAGTGGGAGAAAAGAGGGAGGGAGAGAGAGGGAGGGAGAGAGAGAGGGTGAGAGATGGGGTGAGAGATGGGGTGAGAGGGAGGTAACTAGAGACGACCGAAAGATGTGACTAAAGGTAGACTAATCGGGAGGTAGGGTTAGGAAGGAATGGCTGAAAAGAAAACAAATTCAAGCTGACAAGAGAAAGAGAGGGACAGAGAAAGCGCGAGAGAAAGTAGAGAAAGCAAAGAGGCGAGGTTAACAGAGGAGAAATATTGGTTGATAAAAATGAAGCAGCGGAGACCGTGATCCCTGTCGCCGGAGAACAACAGCCGCGGTTTAGTCTGTTTAAGATTGGTTGATGACTTCGGTGCAAGCTGTGGTGCACTAGCTTTAAAACGACGAGTCCCTAGGGGAAGGGGAGGGGAGCGTAGGGGGAGAAGGGGAGAGGGGGGTGGTGGAGGGCAATATGGTTTAGGAAGGGAAAAGATACGAGAGGGAAAAGAGGAGAGATGGAAATGTGGGAGGTTAAGCAAACAGAAGTCGGATGTGGCGTCGTGACTACGGAGTACTGACTATGTAACATAAGTTAAGTAAGTATTGAGTAGTGAAAAGTGTGCCAATTGCCTACCTATGTACTCCGTACATACTGTACAGTTACTTTATCAGGCAGGTAACTTATCATACCTAGTAGTGAAAGGCCCCGGGGAAGAAGAGAAACTGTGCAAGGTGACTTGACCACGGAGTGTAGTACATTACAGTACAATACAATCCTCTGCTAGCAGTCAGCAGTCTGCATGCAGCCACTTTCGGCTTGCCATTACCATACAATATCCCTCTAATAATCCGTCTCTTATGAAAGGATTGTTGACTGTATTAACCTATGTAGTAGCTATCGAGAGAACTCTTACTCTCATAACATAGCCATAGTACAATCGCTAGACGCCAACTCTGCGCTTCAATCACACTCTCATGGAATATTCTAAGTTATGTAAGTTTCTTATTGCCTCAAATCCAAGCATCCCCTTGGCTCTTGTTACACATTTGAGCTGAGAAATGGAAACAAACCAGCTACAACAGCATTCACTTACTCAGCCATGATAGACTCGAGATTCAAGACTTTACTCTTGGCTCGCACTTAGACCACGAGCATGTTTGAACTCAATCCGGTTGCTAAGAATCTTTCCTTTCCTGAAACAGGCCTAACAGACAACCTGAGGCTTCCCTAC